ATAACAAACTCCCACAGTTGCATGGAAGTTGCAATATTCCCATTTTTGGCAATTCTTCAAGTTACAATTACCTATTTACCCTTAATTATATAGAAATACTTATTTCATCCACACATTTATTATATCGTGTTGAAGGTAGCTTAGTCATATGACACTAATTGTTAAACACTATTTTGCCTTTTCATGGCTAACATACAGCTAACATTCCACATCATGTTATATGGGATTAGAATTTTCATAGCAATGGCATGTAAAACCCAAATTTTTAAATATATAAAAATAATATTATACGAGTCTTTAAATATTTTTTTTTATTAAATTTATTTGAAGTGTAAAATGTTTATGTGATTAATTGAAAGAAATAATTATAGAAATCTTAAAATTAGAAATAACCAAAATTGAAATAGAATGTTGATTTAGGGGTAAAAAGTGTAAGTCTTATTAAAATAGTGAGAGCAGGGGGTTCGGTTGTAAATGTTAGAAAGTTCAGGGGCAAATGTCATATTTTTTAAAGATGAGGGACCTGTTTTGCCAACAGTACATGTATGTTTGGAGAAAACGACCCCACAGCCAAAAACTCGCGATTTAGTCCGATTTCATCAACTAATAAACCAAAACTCTTGCATATAAATGTAAAGCACTGGCTTAGGGTCGTTTTGGTTCAAATAGTTTAGAAAATAAACAAATATTGAGAGAGAAATCTGAGTTTGAAGTTCGAGTTGAAAATCTCGGTTTTTCACCGATTTTGGATGAGATTCTTATCTAAATCTCATGGTTTTTATGTTTATAGCTTCGTTTTTAAGTACTCTATCAAACCGCACTAGCCTCATATCTCATATTTGGTTTTAGATAGTTCGATTTTATGTTTTTTAAGTTGTTGAGTTTTAGTTATAAAAACAAAACTTTAAATGAGAAAATAGAACTTATTTCTTCACGAAAATATATGTTCTTTATGTCAAAATGTTTGGCAACAATATTACCAAGGTTTTGGTGTAAAAAGAACAAAGAAAAAAAAATCAAGAAATGAACCATTTTCGAGCATAAAACTCTGAAATTAGTGCAGCCATGACTGTTGGTGCGACCGGTTTAGCAGACGCGTCGGCCAGGTCTGACCCGCATCCATTTACCTATTAAAAAAGGGGGATGGAGGCGTTGAGGACGAGATTCAAACCCATGACCTCAAGCTAAAGCTCCAACATGTTAACCAATGAGTTAACCATAAGTTTTGTTACATTTTATGCACTGATATTATTAATATGCATTATACATTTAAGTTTCAGAAATTAACATTTAACCCCCTTGAGTTCTAGAAATATAATTTTCTCTATAATAACTTTATGAAATTTTCATCAAGTTTTATTTGGATTTTGTAAAATGCAAACTTTGACCCAAATTCGATTATTTATCTCGTTTAGTTACCATAATGACCTTATAAATGGGAGGTATTTTAGCAATATTTCACGTAGTTGCTTTCAAAATTAACCGAAATAACCTTATATCTTGGGGATTGGTCTATAAGCTTTATTTTTATATTATTATTTTTACAAAATTACGAAAACAACCCTATATTCGGAAATCGGTATATTAGCAATATCTTTATGTATTTGCTTTATAAAATTACCGAAATAACCCTATACCTCGGAGATTGGTATATAAGCTTCATCTTTATATTATTATCTTTATAAAATTAACACAAAGATCCTATATTTGGAAATCGGTATTATAATAATAATTTACGTATTTACTTTATAGAATTACCATGACCCAATGTCTTGGGAATTGATATCTAAGTGTTATTTTGAATATAATCCTTATGAAATTACCAAATGACCCTATAATTTGAAAATCGATATTTTAGCGATACTTTACATATTTGCTTTATAAATTACCGAAATGACCCTATGTCTTGGGATTGGTATCTAAGTTTTATTTTAAATATAATTCTTATGAAACTACCAAAATGATCCTACAATCTGGAAATCGATATTTTAGCGATACTTTACGTATTTGCCTTATAAATTACCGAAATGAACCTATGTTCTTGGGAATTTGTATCTAAGCTTTATTTTGATCATTATCTTTATGAGATTACCAAAATGACCTTACAATTAGGAAATCGGTATTTTAACAGTACTTTGAGTATTGCCTAATAAAATTCCAAAATGCCCCTACGCTTTGGGATTGGACTTTTAAGCACAGTTTTAATATTCGACTTATGAAATGTACCAAAAATATTCTAAATTAGGGAATTGGTTAAAGCTATACCTTTGGTATTCAACTTCTTAAGATTACCAAAATGCCCCTAGACTTGAAAATTTGATATTCTAAACATTATTTCGAGTATTAATTATGTTGAACTTTAAAGTTATGGAATGACCGTTATTTATATGTATTTGACATGTTGTCACCATTATTCACTTGCAAATCTTAAATGAGACGTTTTGACCATAAAACATTATCTAAGTTGCAAACTATTTAATTTAGTTATTTTGGTAAAATACTTATTGTTCAAAAAAATGTGAAGTGTATTGCACGTTTTTATAAAATGTACGAACAACAATTAATATTATAATGAAGTCATATTATTAATAATATTTCAATAAAATATTTGAGCGAAACATGAGATATGGTGGTATCGAGGGTTGATCAATAAATATTGTCAAGATTAGTTGTGCTAAGATTGTTGGAGAATAATGATCAATTTAGTTACGATTATCTAAGGTGCTTAAGAATGATATGAATTATCACGTAGGTTGCAATTTTCGAGAAAAACAACCTATCGAACGCTAACGATTCAAGGTGAATACATTATGCAATTTTTATGGAATATATAAATGATTATTGCAAAGTATTTTATCCATGATATTTTCATGATGTGTTTAAATGCGTATGATGATAACGTGATTGTATTGACGTACATGATATTCAAATATATGCATGATATGAAAGATGATATTGATGAGAAAGATGATATTGATGAGAAATATTATGATGACTTAATACTATTAATATGATATTCAAGTATGTGTATAATGTGAAAAGAATGACGATGATGCATATGTGATTTATGTTGTCACTTGCATGAGATGTATGTTGCATGTCACGATGAGATTTGCATTAATGAGTGAGTATTGCAAATAAATAATATGCAACTAGTATGATTCAGAAAGATTCATCCACCGTACATGGTGTGTTGGACATGAAAGGAGGGCTTGCAATTCCGAGGTTTTGGAGTCCTCGTCCATAGAATACGCTACATACGCAAAGAAAAGTGACGAGTCGAGGTCTCACTTGCAAGATAATAACTAAAATACATTAAGACACTTTTTATATGTGCATGTGAACATGAAACCATATTGTATTCACTAAACTTTTAGCTTATACTATACATGTATATATCTCAGGTGTCAATTATCGTTAGACGAGTTGAATGAAGAAAGACGGGGCTATGTTTTGGATCATGCTTGATTATATATTTTAATTAGCATTGATTACGTTAAAGTATTTTACGCTTCCGCGATTATGTAATTAATTATGTTAAACACATTATGTATGTTTGAAATTTTGAAGTTTGTATTTTGTTCATGGCATAAATTATTAAGAATGACGTCACAACACTCGAAAGAGGAAAAAAATTGGGGCGTGACATGGCAGAACTAGAAAGTAGAGAGAATTTTTTCAGAGGTTAAAGGATTGTATTGATCATCAAAGTTACAATGCTCAAAGTTACCAAAGGTTACAATGCACATACTCAAAGTTACTAGAAACAAGAGACAAGCTACCTATTTATATAGACAAGAAATTACAAGGAAATAAGCTTGAATACAATATAGAAAATCAACATAATATATGGTCTACTTGCAGTCAAATACAATAAAGAACCAATCATGCCTCTATAAGTCTTTTGATCAACAAATTTTCCACTTAGATCTGCATCAAGTTTCACTCTACTGGTCATTGGTATCTTTATAGAAGAACATTTAGACATATTATATTTCTTCAAAAGACCTTTTACATACTTAGCTTGATTAATGAATATTCCTTTAGAAGATTGCTTTATTTGAAGTCCAAGAAAGAAATTTAACTCTCCCATCATACTCATTTTAAATTTAGTCTGAATTATTTTCTCAAAGTTCTTACAGTATTTTGGATTAGTAGAGCCAAATATTATATCACCTACATAAATCTGAATCAAGATTAAATCATCACCTTGCTTCTTTAGAAATAAAGTAGTATCTATAATACATTTCTTGAAGCCAGGCATTAAAAGAAAGTCGGTTAGAGTTTGATACCATGCTCTTGGATCTTGCTTAAGTCCATACAAAGCATTGTCCAAAACATAAACATGATATGAATGTTTAGGATCTTCAAAGCCTTCAGGTTGATTCACATAAACCTCCTCATGTAGCATACCATTCAGAAATGCACATTTCACATCCATTTGAAATTCTTATGTGCAACATAGGCAAGAAAAATTCTAATGCCTTCAATCTCTCTCTCTCTCTCTCTCTCTCTATATATATATATATATATACATATACATACATACTTGAGATCATGTGAGACTAGGTTGTTTTTGTGAGACCCATGAGATCACTTTTTTACACTTGAAACTTCACAGCAAAATACTGTGAATGTTGTGCAGGTTCGGATTTATTTACCATCACAGTGTTTTCTATGAAGTTTCAAGTGTAACAACGGGGACTCACGGATCTCATTGAAAAAACCTAGTCTCACGTGAACCCAACCATATATGTGTGTGTGTGTCTGTATGTATGTATGTATATATAGCACTTTAACATCAATAAATCAAGATTAATAAGATGTCTTATTATGGAGACTTAAAAGACTTCAGATTGTTATATATAACACATAAGAAAGATAGGAATGGATTACTCAAATTAAATATAATGAAAGCTTACATAAGTAAAAACCAAATAGAATGAACGTGATCATCATCAACATAGGACAATGTAATTAACATACTAGATGATGAACGACTAATTATAGGAGTTTGCCAGGAAATTGAGGATCAATTGATTCACTTGATCAGGGAATTGCTCCTGAACAAAATGTGATCCGTCGGGCAAATATGTAACCTCTAGATTAGGTACATACTTCTTCATCTCATCTCCATTTATGATATCCTCGACCCCGGGAAATTTGTATAGATAATCTTTTTCGCCCATGATCAACAATGCTTGAGCTTCTACTTTTGGATCCTCAATGTTAAACTCAAACCTTTCATCTAGTAACGACCTATAGAAAGTTTGAACTTAAGGGATTATAACGTTAATTTCAAGCTAATCAATCATGCTTAATTCAAATAAGTTACCTGTAAGGAACTTTGAGAGCAGTTCGAAATCCAGACTTGTTATACAAAGCGCCATATGCAACAAGATCGTCCTCTGTAAACCAAGAGGGTAAAGGTGTATTTGACTCCACCATATCCATTATCTCCTGGTTTTCATTGGCTATTGGGACTTCACTTTTAGAGAATAATATGTAGACATTTTTCACAACTGTTTTAGCATCAAAACGACTAAAATCAGCTTCAGCTCTTCCAGGATCCTTCAATCACCAATAAGAACTAGTCAGGTTTTATGAATCAAGCATTTAAACTTTTTTATGCATCTACGGATGAGCAAACGTACCCGCCATCTTGAGATGTAGAAGCCTTCGGGAAGGGATTCATGATTTACCAAGGGACCAGGGGGAATAAATGGGACACCAAGCGTTACAACTCCTAAAACCCTTTCGCTATGGAGAAGTGCAAATGCATAAGCAACAAATGCCCCAAAATCTTTGCCGATTACAAAAACCTATGTGTCGAATAAGAATGATCAAAAATCAGTAACAAAATATAATGCTTAGGTGGTAATTTTGCAATGAAAATTAATTTATTTTGTTACGGAAAAAAAAATCAAATATGGTTATACGTTTTTTTTGTCTACCATCTCAAAGTAAATCATATACAAATATCTATTTTTATTCTATTATTTTCACTAAATATTCTCAAACTCTTATCAACTATTACACTTATATCTCTTACAGTCATATCAGTTATATCATATTATTCAATTTTAATCGACATTAATCATCAATAATTGTTGATATGTTAACATTATTTATGTTGTAAAGTATTCCCTTTGTCCTCTTCTTCCAAGTTGATGGTTATAGTAAACAAATTAAACTAAATTAAATTAAAATAATATAAATAACATAATTATGAAAGTATAAATATGTGATATATATTGTTCATCTCGTGGTGATGCTTCAGGATTCCAATGTACTGCGTCCAAGATCAGAACGATCGATTTTTCGTAGGGCTATTGAATAGTTACATGTAAATGATTCGCGTGTCATAAGGTTTGATTATGTAATGGAAGTTTGAAAATATTTTATCAATTTTATCTATTTGGCTAGCCAAAATTCAAAATTCGTAATAGTTAAAGTTGAAGTAATCTACCAACTAAAACCATTTGACTGTAAAAAGTGGATTACGAGAAGGAGTACTCGATATATGACCTTGTAAATGTTGAGAGAATCGAGGATTGCGATAGTATCACTAAGCATGTCGGCGAAGGACGTTTTTTCCGGCTCGACACCATGATCTGATAGTCCATAGCCTCTAAAATCGGGTGCAATGGCTCTGAAACCAGCATCCGCAACGCCTATCATCTGATGGCGCCAGGTGTACCATATCTCCGGGAAGCCGTGCAAAAAAACCACCGCTGTCGATGAGTCGTTTCCTATGTCGGCTACGTGAAGCTTGAGACCCTTCACTTCCACGTACTTGTGCTCAATGCGATCCATTTTTAGATTAAGAGGGAAAGGTTTGTTATGTTAACTTGAATTGATATGATGCGAATATATATACACCATTTACATGACATGGAATAAACACTTTAAAGAAACCTAATTAATTCATAAAAAATTGATTAATTTGAGTTATATTTTATTATTAATGAAAAAAAAAAGAATAGTTGAAAAATTCACACAAAAACACACCCAATGATTGTTTTATTAAAAAAATTGATCAAATATTTTAGTAATAATTTTTTAATCATATTTAATTTAATGATTATTTATTAAAATAAAAAAAACAATAATAGTGGTGCATGTCAATATGACCATTCTTGTTTTGAGATACCTTGAGCATTTTTTTTAATTCAAATTTTTTTATTATAATTTAATTTAAATTTAATAATGAAGTAATTTATTTTTAATTTAATAATATAATTTTTTATAAAGATGATAATTAAGTATTATGTTATAAATTTAAATGAAATGTTTATCTTGTATTTGACTAAGTTTATCTGTGGCTAGTTACTCGAATTCAAACATGAAGCTTTAATAAGTTGTACTTACGCACATACTATTTGTAATCTTGAATTTTAAGTAATATGTACCAATAAACGGTACTTCAAAAACATAAAAAATGAATTTTAAGAGTTTTGATAAAATGCTTTATAATATAGTATAGATTTTATAAAATGTCGTTCAGTCACATATTCTTATAACCTAGTTGTTTAAACAAGAACCGAACTTGTATATGAATTCTTGTAATTTTATTTATTTTTTTACTAATTTGTTTTATTTTATTTTAATAAATCAATAACACAGATTTTATAAAATTCATAAATTAAAATTCAAACAAAAATATAAACTAGTACTTATAAAAAAATTAAATTTATTAATTTTGTTTGCTTTTTGTTGGCCGAATTCGGAAGATAACTGACATTGAGCCATTCGTTGGTTATTATAGGCATCTCGAAAACGTCTGGGTCCGATTATTAATTAGTTTTACTTTTTATTAAAATAAATATCTATATAATATTGCATTTTTTAATTTTAGTGTTATATTTATATTTTAGTTATTTTCATGTTAACAAAATGTATAAATAAATAAATTAAAATATGAAAATTAATAAATTATATCCTTAATTCTTTTAATAATTTTAATATATATATATATATATATATATATATATATAATCAACCCAACTCATATTATATAGTTTAAATAAAATTATATTTTATAATTGAAAAAATAAAAATGAGTTTCTGAGAATATAAACTTTTTTTATTTTGAAAACTATAAATACAAAACAATCTTGTTTGAAATAAAATTTTATTTTTATATGAGTTATCTATCCAAACGCTTACCCGATAAACATTTATGGTTAGAGACAACGTTGTCAGTTAACTTACTAGAAAAGATTATATTTTATCAAAATGACATCGTATACCACAATTTTCATAATACAGAGACCGTGAAGAAATTAGACACATGTTCTTAGCTACATCAACCACATGAATGAACCACAACTGATCAAAAGAGAAATCTAAAGGGAGATTAATTGGCTTTGCACTCGATTTGGGTCAAGATCTTATTTGGAGATTGACCGACTTTACACTCATTTCGGGTTGAGATTGTTGAGAGAACTGGAGGTGAGGCTGAGAGGAGGAGGCAATTGTATTGGGTGAATAAGAGGAAATAAGTGATTAGGTTACCACTTTTTTTCAGATAACTTTAAGAAATAAGAGGGTTTGAAAAATTAAAATTAAAACAAACAGTATAAATTCCAAAACATTTGACTAAGGGGTCGTTTGCTTCGCGGAATTCGAAGGAATTTAATGGCATTGGAATGACAAATTCATTTGACCAAATTTCAATTCCTTTGTTTGGTTCATTTCTTGAAATGGATAAATCCTTCAAATTCCATTGAATTCCATAAATTAATGAATTCATCATTCCTTGGTATAATAGAAAGAATTGAATTTCATCACCACCCACCACGACCATGCTACTATTGTTCGTCATGCCCCATCCCTAACCCTCCACCACCGCCACACTACTATTGTCACCACCACCACACCACTATCTTACCATTATCATCGTCACAGCTACCACCCCGCCACCTACCCTACCCAACCCATCGTCCCGCCCCACCTTACCCTACTCCAACCCACCACTAACCATCAGCCTACCATTGTAGTCGTCACAACTACCACCCTGCCACTCATTGCCCCACTCTGGCCCCACCCCCACCGTCTCGCCCCACCCTGCCTTACCCCTAACACCCCTTGCCTATGGAGCAGGGATGGGGCATGAGTGATGGGGGCGAGGTTGAGATGGTGAGGCAGGTTTTGGGTAGGGGTGGGGCGGGATGATAGTTGTAACGACGACAATAATGATATGGTGGTTGGTAGGGTGTGGGCGGGGCGACGGGTAGGATAGTCCAAACAAAGATGATTGTTCCAATTCTTTTGAGTGATTTCATTCCAATTCCTACTAATCAAATGCGTGGTCAAATTTCATTCTAGTTTCTTCAAAGTCAAATTCTTTTGATGAATTTTAATTCCATTAAATTTCATTTTGTGAACCAAACATCATATGAAGTAAATAATAAATGGTGATTAAAAGGTAAAATTGAAAAACAAAGAGGACTTAATAATTAATGACGTTAAAGAAATGAGGACTGAATAAGATATTATTGAATTTTAGTTTATAAAAAATAACGCCGGCAATATTTCCACATCATTAATACTTTTTCTCCTTGAACATCAGTGAATTTTTTTTTAATTCTTTAAAAAAGTATTACAAATTATCAAACGGTTTTTATATATATACTAGAAGAGTATTCGTGTAATGCCGTGAGATACATCTTCATTTTAATGTTTCGTTTTATTTTTTGTTTCTATTGATATAACAAGGTTTATGTGGTTGTAAGAAAGATAATGTTTTTATTTTTAAATAAAAATAAATTTGAATATATCATATTTTTTTAATTGTAAGAAAGATAATGTTTTTATTTTTAAATAAAAATAAATTTGAATATATCATATTTTTTTAAAAAAATACGTCGATATTAATATCTAATTAACTATTTAACAGTTCTCATTTTTTGTACAATTTCTTTAATTCAAATTTTCATTATAATTTAAGGTCAATTATCGAAGTAATTTATTTTTTACTTAATAATATAATTTTAAAAAAGTTTATGATTCTGTTAGAACTCAATTATTATTCTAATTATATTTTAGATTTTTTATATTTGAAAATGAGATGTTTATCCTGCATTTAATTATGTTTATCTGCAGTAACTTATACAAATACAAAAATAGAGCTTTAATAAGTTGTACTTATGCACAGTTTACTTCTAATCTTAAATTTTAAGTAAATTATACATTAATAAATAGTATTTCATGCATAAAGAATAGTTTTTAAGAGTTTTTGCTAAATATTTTATAATATAGTATAGATTTTAGAATTATTTTATTTAAAAATACAAATAACTAACATTTAACACTTCAATTAATTTCAATTTTATAGCTTAATATACAGTTATTATAATTATTTCCTCAGTAGCAATAATTTGATCGGATTTAAATCATATAAGAATATAAAAGACAATAAAATGAAAAATATTCAAGGTCTGTGAGTTGTTTACTAAACGTTTACGGAATAAACATTTAAAACAAGACTCATCACCCTTAACTTACTTTATTGGTTAATTTGGGGTTATCAAAATAGATCGTTAGTAAGCGTCTTTTACCTGGTAAATGTTAACTGAGTAAAAGTTTTTTCCCCACTTAGCAGTAAGATTTATCAGTCTTTGCTATACCTCTTACCACATAAAATTATTGGTTATTGTCATGTTCACCTAATAAAGTAAGTGACACCCAGTTGGTATACAGCCCCTTAAAGGTTGTTTTTTTACTAAGACATATTTGAAATAAAACTACTTAACTTAGAAGGTAAATATATGATGACTTATTTTATTTAGTCATTTTCGAACCATTACCAAGTTACAGAAAGAAACAAACACCGTTTGTTAAAGAAAAAAAAACCGCCCGCCATTAAATAGATTAAGAAAACAAGCAAATATTTAGGGGATGTTTGATAACGAGTTAACGGGTTGTATATGACGTATGACTTATTCGGGAGGTTGTCTAGTTGTAACTTGATGGTCCACATGATGTATTGGTTAATTTTTTATGCCCGTTGAAAGGTATTATACCCATTGAACCATCAATATTCCATTCATGTTCTCTGTTAGTGTTAAATAATTTAAAATTCAAATCGATTCAGACTTGGTAAACTGATTTTGATTTCAAAAAACATTTGGGTGGATACAATATTTATCTGACTGACATTTTTTAAACATAAATGCAAGAATAGAAAGTCGAAACATCGTCTTAGAAGACACTGAATAGTGATTATAGTATTGAATTCGTGTTATGTTAGATTAGCTTGTTTTATTTAGAAAAAAATTTAAATTGATATTTCTATCATTCAAAATCAGTTATTTCAACATATTTATCAAACAGTTATTTAAATCAGTATTCAATATAAACCGAATGGTAAAATAATGTTTTTAACATTCATATTGTTTATTTAATACAAGAATTAAATAATATATTTAAATTATATATATTAATTAATTGCCAGAAAAAAAAAACTCAGCCCCTTAGCCAACTTATTCAAGCAAGAAGCATCAATAAATTTGGATCACAAAAGATTCTTCAATTGTCATAATGCTTTTGATGATATTCTGTTGTTGGCTCTCTCTCTCTCTCACTACATATATATAAATATATATACAGGATTGGGTTCACGTGAGACCCAGAGTTTTTAGTGAGACCCATAAGATCAATTTATGTTCACTGATAAACTTTATAAACTAATGATCTAATAGTCTAAAGTTGCACGGTGGCAATTTTGGCGATTATTGAGAAGTCTCGTGGCGTTTATTAATGTTCAGATTGTCAGATTGTAGATCTAATCCAAGGGTTGAGAATTGGTCTTACGGGTCTTACAAAAAACTTTTGGTCTCACATGATCCCAAATCTATATACACATATATATACACCCCCCCCCCACACACACACACACACATATATATATATATATATATATATATATATATATATATATATATATATATATATGGACAACTTCAAACGAGAACACTAACTATTTAAGAAAATAAAAAAAAATTGTTAATATACAAAATCATACATGATTCACATATACACACACACATATATATATATATATGTGTGTGTGTGTATATATATATATATATATTTACATACAAAATCATACAGGTTCAAATATCATACGCTTCCATTTTTTGATGCTAAAGTAAAATCACATATGATTTTGTACATTAACGATATTTTTCTTGTTCTCTTAAATAGTTAACGTTCTTGTTTGAACCTTTCTCTCTCTCTCTCTCTCTATATATATATATATATATATRTGTGTGTGTGTGTGTGTGTGTCAGGGGGGCATTTAAGGAAGAATTGATTAGCTTGTGGTAACCGTAAGATCCAATGTGAGCTACTCGTTTGAGATATTTAAGAATATTTCTTAAATAAACTAAAAGGTAATATAGTAATTTTATTTTTGACAACTAATTAAAGTATTTAATTAAATTTTTTAGAATGAAATATTTAGTCAAATTAGTTACCTAGTATATATCAATTACTTAATATACATTGTATTTTAAATATGTTTGTGAATCAATCACAATGTATTTTCTTCGTTTTATGAAATGTATCATAGTGTGCATTTTCATTATTTTCATTGTTTTACAAAGAGTATCACATTGTGCATCTTGTATGTATATATGGGTATCATAGTGAATATCGTTTGTAGATATCACAATGTGTATCTTGTATTCACATAATGTTCATCGGAATAAGGTTCGTCGAATAAAGTTCGTCGGAGAGAGGAAAGAGGAGAGAGAAGAGATGACATTTATAAAATTAAAATGCCCTTAATTAATATTTTAAGTTAAAATTACCAAAATTGTTAATTTTCTAATTTAACATTAGATTTGTGGTTGAGATTGAATCTCACGATTACCACAAACAAAACAGTTCTCATTTGATTAGGCTCCCATGTGTGTGTGTATGTATATATATATATATATATGTGTGTGTGTGTGTGTGTGTGTATATATAGGGAAAGGTTCAAACGAGAACGTCTTCATTTTTCAAGAACACGAGAACACCCTTTTACCATAAACAATCACATGTGATACTATTATTCAAATACATGTGATGCTAAATCAGAGACGTAGACGACTTTTGACGCGATCTAGGTTGTATGTCAAGTCGCTCTTACACCACTAAACCCCCTCGCATATACTATTACATGTGATAAATGTGATACTATAATCCATCAAGAACATCACATGTGATACTAAATCATAGACGCAGACGACATTTGGTGCGATCTAAGTCGCAAGGCATGACATCCATACACCACCAAGTCTCTTCAAGTGTATTATCACATGTGATAAAAAATGTTCTCGTTTTCTTGTAAAATAGAAGTGTTCTTATTCAAACCTATATATATATATATAGGTAAGGGAAAAAAAGAATCTTCTAATGTCATGTTGCCCTTGATAATATCTCAGTTGTCGTTAATCTATTCTCTACTTGTCATTGAAATATTCTCTTGTGGTATTCTACTCTTTAATTGTCATGTTGTTATGGACTTATAATCTTATTATCATTTATAATAATATAATATGTTGATTAATAATATATTAATGAATAGAAATTTCAATTCGATTATTATCATCATCATTAATATATTAGTATATAATATTCTTTTTATTTTAGATTTGTATAATCAAAATCTACATTATATTATAAAACATTTGACAAAAACTCTTAAAACAATTTTTTACGTATAAAGTACTGTTTATTGATGCATATTACTTAAAATTCAAGATTACAAGTAAAATATGCATAAATACATCTTATTAAAGTTTTATATTTGAATTTGTGTAACTAACCGCAGATAAACATAATCACATACATGATAAACATCATTTTAAATCTAAAATATAATCAAGATAATCATTGAGTTCTAACAAAATACTTAATTTTTATTTTAAAAAAATATTATATTAAAGCAAAAATAAATTAGTTTGTTATTAAACTTCAATTAAATTATAATAAAGAATTGAATTAAAGAAATTATACAAAAATGAGAACTTTTAAATAGTTAATTTGATACCAATATGATTATTTTTTTCAAATTTATATTTCATTCAAAAATAAAAACATTTTCATTTTATCAAAACCACATGACCAAGATATAAAACGGAACATTAAAATCAAAATGTATTTCGTTGCATTACGCAAGTATCCTTCTAGTGAATTATAGAAGAAAAAAAACTACATTAAAATAATATTTTTTAATAATCATTACATATAATATGAATGATAACAAAATCGGTCAACTTCTCAAAAAAATTTAATAATTATTAAATATTTTATTAAAATCATTTATCAAAGTTTTAGTCTTTATTGAAGTTATAAGAACTTTCCAAAATTATTAACACATTGTTTGGTAACACATTGTTTGGTATACATAGGCTAACTTATAAATTAGTTTATAGCTAACTTATTTTTTGAATATATATTTGAATGAATAAAAGTTAACTTATAAGTTAGCTAGCTTATTGAAACGCTATTTGTAGGGCCGGTCATAGATGAGGGAGCGACGGCCCAGGACACAGCAAAACCTAAATGCATCAATTTTGTGTAGCCCAATTACCAATATACAAGTATAGGTTGATTTTTGATTTGGGCCTAAAAAATGTTACCAGTACCCTAATCTCATCTCAAGCGGCCTTGATCCGTCCTCCTCCTCCCTCGACTTTCGCAGTCTCGCCTTGCTCTGTTGCTCAGAGTCACAGAGTTTTCTCTAATCAGTGAATCACCACTCTTCTGAACTCACAATTCACGAATCACGAATCGAAATCTCTCTCTCTGCCTCTCTCGAGTCTCGACTCTCGACCGCCTCTCGGCCTCTCGCTCGCCTCATCTATCGATTCACGGCTAAACCTAGACGAAATCCTCTCACGAATCTCGCATTTGAAATCTTGATTCACGGTTAGATACTAGTAATTAGTTTTAGTATTGTTGATGTTTTAATAACAAGTACATAGAGGCTTAGATGATTTTTGATTAGGTATTTAAGATTTTAGGTTTATATACATGATTAATCATTATCTTTGTAAATTTAGGAAATAGAAGAGTAAAATATGAGTGTTTTTCCAATTCCGATTTTTGGCTTACTGCATTTTCAATTCTAATTTTTGAGGAGAATTTGCTTCGAATTCTGAGGAGTGAGGACTCAAATAGGAAAGAGCAGTGTACTTTTTGTTCCATGTTCTAATTCTTATATTCATTTCCATGTACTAATTGCCATGATTTGCAAACTCACTGCCACTATTCTCAAGGTTTATTGGATATATGTATATATATATATATATGTGTGTGTGTGTGTGCGTGTGTGTGCGTGTGTGTATAACGGGAGGTTCAATAAGAATGCTAAATATTCGTGAGAAGGTAAGATCTAWGAAGTGAAGGTTCCTATGTGAATCATTATAAAAATTCATTTGAAGATGCATATGTGAACCCATATGAATAATCTGTAATGTTGGTTCACATATGCATCTTGAAACAGATTTTTTTGGATTTTTCTAGTGGATTAGATATTAACCTTTCCCTTCTTACCTTCTCACAATATTTAGCCTTCTTATTTGAACCTGTCACTATATATGGTTTCAGTTGTTTAAGTTATGATCACATAAGTACTTGTCTCCATATTCTACCTCGTGTAAGTGACCTTGGCAATTTTTTTAGCAGATTACTGAAAATTGTAAGTACCATTGGCTCAATAGTTAAACACTTGATTGTTGTTTGTCCGAGACACAAATACCTACAAAACCAACATTAGAGAAGATGAATTTGGAAGTTTCAAACTCACATAAGATTGTGATACAAGCAAAACATTACCATTATGAAAAGAAGACTATTAGGATTTTGTACTACAATAGTATTTGTAGAGAAGTGTTGCCATAAACGTAGAGTAGTGTGTGTTAAAAGTCTCAATAGACAGAGTGCTTTGACTTTACCATTTTCATGAAGATAGACCTTGAAACATCTTGATCAAATCAGCGTGGGGATTAGCCGCCTAGCTTGACCAAACCCCTTAAATAATGTGTTCTGTTTGCTGTTTTTTGGGAATTTTTTTGGCTTTTTGCCATGGGCATCAGAAACGTCAGGACCCCCCTGCATTTGATGTGAAGTGGGTTATGTGCAAAATATAAACTTGACCCCAGAATATAGTTTTGTAGCTTCTGTTTGGTTTTTGAAAATCGATTTGTTGTTTGTTCTGATGATAACATATATTATCCATATTTTTTGTAAAAAATTTCGTGTTGAATGTGGGTGGTGAAGTTCCAGTCAAAATTCAATAACATTGGACAGGCTTAGGTGTTCAAATTGCAAGTATAGAATTACCATGTCAAAGTTGGATGTACATTTTAACATTTTGGCGAAATGGGGTTGGACTTAATGACATGCTTCTTACCTTGTATCTTTTTTAGGAGTTAAATGCACAAAAACATCTTTATTTTCACTGTTTTGCATCAATAATAATCACATTAAAAAATTGAAGGTAAAAATTATTGATCTTTTGATATACCACACTAACATACATTATTTTTTGTACTTATAATTCCCCTGGCTTGCAATATAGTAGTTGTACAGTTTTGATTCTGTCCATCTTTACAAAGTTCTATAATAGGTTCTTAGAGGGAAGTTCATTTAGGAACCTTAAATATTTTAGGAACTATGAACTAACCTTTTTGCGAGAGAAGGAGCATGCTTTATAATGAATCATGATGAATGTAGACAACAAATCGATTAATGTTGTAACAGATAAATTATTCATGAATCATGATGAATGTTGTAACATATATTCATGATGAATAATATTCATCATGAATACACAAAATAGGTAGTTTTTGGTTCCTAAAATGTTTAAGGTTCCTAATTGAATCTGCCCCTAGTTTCTTAGTACATGAAAATGTGAATAACATATATGTATCTGTATTTGGCAGATACTTTTTCTCTCTGTAAACAAATACTTCTCTGCTGCATTTCTTCACAATGGCCACAAGTAAGTAAACTTGTACATTCTCTGTTCTTTTCCTTTATGTCAATCAGGTCACATGTGAAATTAGTTTGGGTTTGGCTATATGGAGTATGGACACAGACTGTAAGGGGCTGTTTGGTTGTTTTCCATTAAGTCCTGTATGGATAAAATTGTATGTATTTATTAATATGTCTGTATGGATCGGAAAGGTTTTTCTGTGGGAGGACTTTTTCATAAATGGAAGGAGCGTGTTTTTTAATTGGGAGGGACAGGCTTCGAAAAAACTTGGCTTTCTGCATAAAGCTCCCCCTTATAAGCTTACTGAATAAGCCACTTTCTATATCATTAAGCCACCACCAAACAGTAATGTATAGCTGACCAAATAAGGTGCGAGTCACATTAAGCTCATTAAGCTGCTAACAAACAGGCCCCATTTTTGAAAAAGCCACTTTCTCTTTCATTAGGCCACTACCAAACAGTAATGTATAACTGACCGAATAAGCTGTGAGTCACATTAAGCTGCTAACAAGCAGGCCCCAAGTATCATGTACAAACATCATGATGACATCTTGTTTAGAGATGTTGATTTAGAACATTATGATGACATCTGCAGGGATAGACATTAGAAATATGTTGGTATTAACTTTTGGACATCATCTAAGCAATATACATATTCACACTGATAAGGGCAAAGCCTCTTCATTTTTGGAAAACAACATCTTTAATATGGTGATTTGAATGAATATATTGAGGACATCTTCATTGATTATAATAGGAAACATATGACCGTTGCCCCTTGGGAAAAAATGCATCTTGATTTTGAAATATAACTTTCAACTGTCATCACCTTTTTTCGTCTTGTTAATTTTACAGTCATGTCAACAACATATCATCCCTTTTTAATAGTAGTCCAGCATTGCTGACTGGAAACTCTGTTATAATAAGTGTCCACGGTTCTTTTTTCTTTTGTCCCAAATTAAATGTCTACTTTCAAAATTAAGTKTCTACTTTYCAWCTATACCTTTAATTATGACATGGAGAAATTCATTTCTTTCTCTATTATTAAGGGTAAATTGTCGYTTAGTTGATTAAAAAGTGTAATGAAATTACACATTTCTAAAACTSTGTACCTTTTTTGTTATGGACATTTAATTTGKGACGAGTTGGSAGTACAACTTACTATAAAAAGCAATTTCTTGCATGACTTCGTTTATTTTTTAATTGGTTGCCTCATGAATTTTTGCAGGACTTCAGTTTGAGAATTCATGTGAAATTGGGGTGTTCTCAAAGCTGACAAATGCTTACTGCTTGGTAGCCATTGGGGGGTCTGAAAATTTCTACAGGTTTATTCTTGTGATTGAAGTTCTACTTGCTATATAATGTATCATGTATGATTATGAAATATGTTACAAAAAGTTGAATCATTGTGTGCAGTACATTTGAGTCCGAATTAGCAGACRTTATTCCTGTGGTTAAGACCTCCATTGGTGGTACAAGAATAATTGGAAGGCTTTGCATTGGTAAAGAATTTGGAAGCCTTTGCACTCTATATTACAACTTGCGTATTCGGTTTTGAAAACTGATTTTGGATGATTTTTTGTAGGTAACAAAAATGGGCTTCTTTTGCCTCATACTACTACTGATCAAGGCAAGG